ATTGTCTCCCTCTAGCAGTTACTGGCTCCAGAGACTGACTGGAACCCCAGCCCACCTCTTGTGGTCCAAATGCCCCCCAGTCCCTGTGCCTGAAAATCAGACAGGGCCTCTGTCATGCCCTGGGCTGCAGGGTGTCTGACCTTGGAGAGCCTTGTGACCTTTCTTGGTCAGCACTCCTTCACCTGTAATGAAGAGATAATGCTGCTGTCTCCACTCAGGCAGAGGCTGAGAAGGGGGGCTAACAAAGAGCCCAGCACTTGGCAGACCTAAGCGGCCCTGGAAATGCTTCATAATCAAAATGCTTTTCCCCTCTTTGGAAAACAGAAATGGAGAGAGAGTATAAAGAATGGAGAGGAGAATGGGGTCACAGCCTTGGGAGGAGGAGGGAAAGGACAGCATTTCTGTGGGTACAGTCCCTCTTTGGGTTGGGGCTGTGACTTTCTTCACATGTGGCCCAGGGAGCCCACCACCCACTCACTCACTCAGCAGTGTGTGAGCACACGTTTCACATGACTAGCAAGGATGAAAGTCAAAATGTCCCCCACCTCTGTGCAGAGACCACCAGCTTCTCCGGGGTGTGGAAGGGAGGAGACTGTGGTTATGACACCCTGCCCTTCATTTAGCCTTACAGAAACGAGACCCTGTCCAGAACTTCTGAGCAGGGAATTTGGCTCACCCTGATAATCTGAACTTTCCTAGGGTGACCTAAAAGCTCTCACTGACTTCAGAGTCTCCTTCACCAAGCCCTTCTCTGCCTCACCCCCTCCCCTGATGTTTTGCTGTCCATTTTATAAGTCAAATATCAGGCCACAGGCTCTCAGGAATCAGGCTCAAAGTTTGCAGCTTGTCCCAGGAACTCAGAGCCTGTATTGGGAGGGGAGGCATCCTGACTGTTTGTTTTGTCAATCCTTGTCATGAGGTGGTGGGAGGCAGAATGGGAAAGCAGAGCCTGTGATGTGTGGTCCCACAATGCTGACACGTGCAGGAGTCTGGAACTTTGATCTCCTAGAAAAGGCTCAAGAGGTGGGAGTCTGTTCATTGTCCTGTAGCCTCTCCGAGCTTTGTTCTCACTGTGGCTTGTCCTTCCTGCAAGAGGGTGACCTCACTGGGGACAGAGGACAACCAGAACAAAGCAGAGGGACTGGTCTTCATACTGGGAGTGGCTTCCCCCTCACTGACAAGTCAACAAACAACAAACCACTGCAATGGGGCATGGAGGCTTGGGGGCTGGGCAATGGATTATCTATTTATTTATTTATTTATTTATTTATTTATTTATTTATTTTGGGGTTTTTTAAGACAGGGGACAGGGTTTTTCTCTGTAGCCCTGTCCTGGAACTAGCTCTGTAAACCAGGGTGCCCTCGAATTTACAGAGATATCTGCCTGACTCTGCCTCCTGAGTGCTGGGCCTAAAGGAGTGCACCACCACCTAGCAAGTTTTATAATTAGTATTAAAGAGCCCGCAGGGGTGCTTTGGAGATTGAAGCAGGAGGAGTGCCAGTGAGTCCTAGGCCAATCTGGATTATAGAGTAAGACCATGTTTTAAGGGAAAAAAAGAGAAATGAGCTGGACAAGCATATAGTACAACTGTAGTCCCAGCCAATGGGAGGTAGAGGCAGAAGGATCCGATATTCAAAGTCAAGGTCTTCAATAGCTACACAGAGAATCGGAGGCCATCTTGACATATATAAGACTCTATCTCATAGAACAAACAAAATTATTAAAAAAAAAAAATGGCGGGGCTTGGAACATAGCCCAGTGGTAGAGTGTTTGCCTAGCAAGCACTGGGCTCTGGGCTCCATCCACAGTGCTTCAAAAGCAGCTGATTACTGGCACACATCAGTAATCCCAGGATCACAAGTTCAAGGTCATCTTCTGCTGTGCACTGACCTCAAGGCCAATTTGCAGCCTAGATTCTCATCCCTACCTTCTGCCTGGGTGCCAGGACTTCTGTGTCTCTCACTCCTTCCCCGTTGAATTCTGCTGTTGGGGCAGGGCATGGTTACTTTAGGCTGCTCCTGGGGCTTAGTGTTTTCATGTGGGTGCCAAGAACATGCTTGTGAGGATCTGTTTGAGGGGCAGGTACCTTGTGTTGACACTGCTTGATGGAGCAGTGTTTGCCTTGGCATTTTGATTTAGTTGCTTCTGGACAATGGAGATTTCTAAGATGGGATCTCTGAACTCATGCTCCCTTCCAAAAACTGAAACCGACTCTCTCACTTGTGAAAGTAGACTCTGCATTCAAATTTGCATTTCCTCACCTGTGAATGACCTTGAATAACCTTTTGCATGCAAGTGACCACTTGTTTTTATCCCGTGAACTCCCTCTTCACAGCCCTCCCCTTCTTCCACCAGCTGCCCCATTTTCCTGTAGGTTGTCAGACCCTTTCTCATTGATCTTGAAATGCTTGTTATATATTAAAAACAGTGGTCTTATCTGGCATCTCTTTTGTTTTCATTCTCCCAGGTATGGTGACAGTCATTACTGTTATTTGGGGCCACGAAAGGCTTTCTTTGCATGACATCAAATATTTTTTTTAATGTCAGTGCTTCTGGATTAATGTTTTAGAAGGCCATCTCTATCCTTCTCTATCTTAACATTTTTTAATGCCCCCCCTTTTATTTTCAAGTTTATGGTCAAGAGCATGAGCTTCAGGAATAGATGGTCTGGATTCAAATACCAAGACCCCAGCCTCCTGTTAACTCTGTCCCTGCCTGTGTAAATGGGAATAGGGGACCTGCTTCGTAAAACCAGGTTGCATACTCGCTACTCTCAGGGATTTCTGCTTGGAAGCATAATGTGAGGAAAGTTAAAAACAAAGGATCGTGGACCAGAGTAGCTGTTTCCTGCTCTCCCACCTCTACCTAAGACATGGAGCTTTCTCTGGGCTTGCTTCCTCCACTGACGACTCTCAACCCAGAGACAGGAGCTTCCCAGAGTTTGGCAAGCCCGCAAGAACTGGGGAGCCCCTGAAATCCTATCATGAGCTGCACTGTTCCTTCTCAAGATTCACATGTTGAGGTCCTTACTCCCAGAACCTCAGAATGTAACCATATTTGGACATAATTAAAGAGATAATTAAATTAAAATGAAGTCCATAGAGGGTTGCTAAACCAATTTGACTGGCGTCCTTATAAGAGGAAATGTGGACAGACACAGTGTGTTGTATGGGGGAGCAGACAGAGAAACAGAGACAGAGAGAGACACAGAGAGACAGAGACAAAGAGAAACAGAGACAGAGAGACAGAGAAACAGAGACAGAGAGACACAGAGAGACAGAGACCATGCAAGGACACAGAAAGGACCAGCTATCTGAGAAGAGACACCTTAGAAGAGACCATTAACATCTTGAACTTGGACTCTGGCTGTCAGAAGTGCTAGGAAGCAAGTTTTTTATGCTCCAGCCATTCAGTCCGGAGTGTTTCTAGGGCAGCTCACTTACACCAGCATAGAGGCTGTGCCCGTCCTGTGCTGAACTGTCAGGTGTAGGACTCCTTGTCTCTCATTCTTCAGGCCCCAAAATTAGGGTGAGAAAGGTATGGGTCCTTATCAGTGTCTCTTTTACCGCCCCCCCCCACACACCTGAGGCTGATGGCCATGCCCCAGGTGTAGACAGCTGTTCCCAGCCTTCTTATCTCCACAGTCACAGAATAGTTTGAAAGACAGCATGTGAGGCTTTGGCTTTGGACCAACATCAAAGTCAAAGGACGGGTGCTCAAGCTCTTTGCTGTGTGTGGACAGAACCCTCCACAAGGACTTCCCCTAAAGCCCCGGCACACCCCAGAGGCCCCAAGACAGCTGCGGCAAGGACAGGTGTGAGGCCACAGGAAGCCGGAGTGTGCAGCACAACATGGTGGCTGGAGGCCAAGATGGGTGAAGAGTAACTGGGAAGACAGTGGGTACTTAGATCTCCTTGTTGTCCTGGCTGTGGTGGGTGGGGCCTCTTGAGGGTGGCGGGCAGGGCTTTATGTGGACCCTGACTTGGCCTCTGCTGAGTCGTTTGGCAGCATACCTCAACACTACTAAAACTCTCCTGGCTTTTTCTTCCTACTGTCTCCAAAAGCTGGCCATCTAGCCCCCAGGCTGGTGGGAAACAAAGCAGTGGGGCACACAGGGAGAGACGGGCAAATGCAGAGGTGCTGACTTCTGGTTTAAAGGCTGACCAAATTTGGGAGACAGCCCTGCCTAGACAGATAATCTGGGCCTCCCTCCATTGTTCCCCTGGCCTTGGGGAGAGCTCTGCTTGGAGGGAGGAGCAGGGCAGAAGCCTTTACTCTAAGACAATGGCAACTCTGTGTAGTGTCTTCAGACTTTGCTGTTTGGAGCTATGTGGGGGAGTTGGCTCCACTCCTCTCCTCTAGACCTGAGATCCAGACAGGCCTGGGTACTCTCCTGGACCTAGCTGTGCCCTCCAGGTAGCCATGTCTGCTAATGAGTCAGATGGTGACTGACCCCCCTGGCTGGTTGCCCTGGCCCTGCACAGTATGTGAGGCCTGGAGCAGAAAGACAGTGGTGGTGATGTGGCCAACAGAGCCTACTTGTTTCCAAATGCAGATGTCATGACATTAGCCATCAGGCAGAAGATCTGGAAACAGCTCCTTCAGGTGAAGAAGCCTGAAGCCAGATAAGGCAAGCAGTCCTCCAGGTGCAAACCGGATGGAATTTTAAGTCTGGTGGGAATAACAGAGGAAGAGAAAAGTGGCCAGCTGCTGCTGCTGCCTCCACCACCCCCCTGGGGATTGGAAGAGACTGTGGTACTCTGGTCCTTTGTGGAAAAGGGGCACCCTTCCTGCTGGAAAGAGTCTCCTGAAGACTGTCATGCTTCTCTGTCCCCTTTGCGGGCCCTTGCCCACTAGGGTTGGAAGGAAAGAGATACCTAGGGCACACTGAGCGTGGGGACAGCTATAATACTTGACCAGTGTCCTAGGATTTGCTGAATTATACTCTCTTGGTCTACTTCCTATGTCTCAAGATTATTATATTTTTTTTCTTTTATAGAACTTGCTGAAAGCTATGGACCTCATCCTTAAAAAATGCACACAAAAATAAAACGCCAAGCTGGGGAATTGGCTCAGTGCTTTCGAGCATAAGAACCTGAATTCAGATCCCTAGCACCCATGTAAACAGCCAGATCCTCCTGTACCATGGGTGAGGGGGGGATGGACCCCTGAGGCTTGCTGGCCAGCCTATTGGAATCGATAAGCTCCAGGTTCAGTGAGAGACCCTGTCTCAAAAAAAAAAAAAAAAAGGTATTGAGGAAGATGAAGATCATCAGACATCCTTCTCTGGCCTCCCTATGTTTGTCTATACACAATGAAGCATACCCACACATACATGTGTGTGCCCACACATGTGTACATGCACACTAAATAAATAAAATGTGCACACTCTCCCGGAGTCCCTGAATTGTCTAGTTCCAGCCACTCGTGATTTCCAGTCTTAAGTGTGCACAGCAGTCACCATGTGCTCATTGAAAACACAGATGACCAGCTCGTTGGGGCTTGGCCAGTGTCTCAGGTCTTTCAGATGCAGAGCTCAAAACTGCACTTCAGGAAGCCTTGCTCCAAGAATCAGTAAAAGGCCAGGGAGGATCCCACTTTGAGACTCTCTGAAGATTCTCTAAGTCTTAGCATCACAAAGGAAGCTTGGAACTGCCCGATTAGGGCAGGGAGAGGATGCCACACATCTTATATCTCTGTTGACAGCCCCCATACCTAGAATGTCATCCACAAGCATGGTGTGCTTGTCAAAACTCTTTAGTGTTGCCAAGGAGGAGCCTGCACAGCCAATGCGCCTGATCTGTTTCTCTTTCTATGGCCCCCCAGGGCCAAATGATGCTGGGTGCCTCCTTATGATAGGATGAGATTTCACTCCATCTTCAGGGGCATTTAGAGGGGGCTTCAAAATGGTAGAAATAATCCCCAGGGCTGGTGGCATTCCTTCGGGGACTGTTAGATCATTTACTCCTCTCTTAGCTAGTTTGAATTTGGAATTCTAATCTGATTGACTAAATAACTTTCACTCTAATCAGAACAGTAGGGTTTGTTCTTAATCTGCAACCATTTAATCTTCCGTCTCATTAATTGTACATGGGTCTTTATAAATATGCAGATTGGGAAGGGAATAAAAGATTATTTGACCTTGAAGGAACCACATAAAATAAGTATATATTTCCCAAGCCTCCTGTCTTCTTTTATTATGCAGATGCAAAAATTGGTGAGGCTCCAATTCAGACTACTGTGGGTTATGGGCAATCTTGTAGCCAATTAGCACCCAGCACTCTGATGAGCCATACAAGTTTAATAATTAGTATAGTATTTACATGTGAGCGGCTTGCTGTGAATTTGCATGTAAATAAAGATGTGGCTACCAAACCCAATCAGAGGCAGTCTGCTGATGAGAGCAGTCAGAAAGGCCCAACGTGAAAATGGAAAACGCTTATGCTGGAAAAGGTGAAATGTCTCCTAGCCTCGAGTTGAGGCCCTTCTGAAGGACACTGGCTCATGGTAAACTGTCTTTGAGCACATATGTTTGTCTTCTGAATATATACAGTCTTTCCTTTAATATTGATAGTTTCTCCTTAAATAAATAAGGGGGAACATGGGACATGAAGCCAGGTAAATTGGTCTCTTAGGGTTTCTATTGATGTGATAAAACACCATGACCAAAAGCAAGTTGGGGAGGAAAGGGTTTGTAGGCAGACTTTTCTGTCCCATCAGCCAACTCCCAAATAACCACACATTATTACTAATAATAAATAATTACTATATATTATAAATTAATTATAAATGCTCAGCCAATAGCTCAGGCTTGGTAATAACTAGCGCTCACAACTTAATCCATATTTCTTATCTACATTCTGTCACGTACCAGTACCTTTTTTCAGCATGTCAAATTCATCTTGCTTCTCTCCTCATCCTGCTGGTGACTCTGCTCTTCTTCATCCCAGAGTTCTCTCAATCTGATCCACCCACCTAACCTCTACTTGCCTAACTATTAGAAAGTTATCTCTTTATTAACAATGACAGCAACACATCTTCACAGTATATAAAAGGATTATTTCACAGCAAGGTTTTTTTTTTTTTTTTTGGCCTACACTTAAAACTCTATAGTCCATCACTGAAGGAAGCCAGGACAGGAACTCAAGCAAGAACCTGGAGGCAGGAGCTGATTCAGAGACCATGGAGAGGTACCTCTTACTGGTTTGCTCCTTATGACTTGCTCAACCTGCTTTCTTATAGAACCCAAGACCAGAAGCCAAGGAATGGCACCACTGGCCATGGGCTGGGCCCTCCCTCTTTGATTACTAATTAAGAAAATGCCCTACAGCCAGATCTTATGAGGGCATTTTTCTTAACTGAGGCTTCTTCCTCTCTGATGACTCTAGTTTGTGTCAAGTGGACATAAAACTAACCAGCACAGTTGGTTATCTGGTAAGAGTCATGAACCTGCCACCTATCTTCTAGGGCTCTCTGAGTCTCCAATTCTTTGAAATGGGTAATTTCTGGTGTTCACCACAGGCCTGGGAAGCTTAAGTTAAATGAGATGATATATGAAATTGCTGACACCCGAAGACTTCCCAGAACATGTCCATTTATAAATGTGTTTATTTCCATCTTCCTTCTGACAATATACATGGACAACCAGGAAGAAAGTGGTTTCTTATGACTGACTTGGCCCATAGAGAGAAACCTGTACTTGCCTACAAGGTGTATATCTGTGGGGGACTAAAGCCTGCCTGTTTAACAACCATCAAACTTTCTAGTACCAACAGGGGCATACAAGTCAGAGCCAAGATATGGAAGCCTGTTGCTTGCTGAGTGGATCTTGTGTGCTTGTTACTAAATCTGAGCATTCCTTCTTTGACATATCTGGGATCAGAAGTACTCTGGAATTCTGAAATGCTTGCATATGTGTACTGAGAGGCCTTGAGGACGAGACCTGCACCCAAACATAGCATCCACTCATGCTTTATATGCTGTATACTTCACACACAGAGCACAAAAGGTATTTTTTAAAATCAATATTTGTAGTGCATCTGTTTTTACTGTGATCCCAAGGATGAGATCAGGAGTGGGAGTTTCAGATAAGGGCCACCTTGTTGGCATGTTAAGAGTTTAGGATTTTGAAGCACTTGGATTTCAGAACTTTTAGTCAGAGATATATAATGTACAGTCACCTTTTCACTTTGAGAATGCCAGTGTGAACCATCATGACCCAGTCCCCATTGTTAGAGCTCAGCTACTTGGCACTCTAAAGGGCTTATAGAGGCTGAGATGTCAGAGTGGATGTGATTGGACCCCGACAAGAGACAGCATGGTTGCCGAGAGATTGTGAAGTTTCTCTTCACCATCATCTAGATGAACCTCTTAGTCTCCCAAAGTCTTTTTCACTTTATCCCTGTCTATGATCAGGTCTTTCTGCAGGTTACAAGGACTGCAGAGAGGCTCTGAGTAGAGGAAGGAAGGAAGGAAAGAAGGAAGGAAGGAAGGAAGGA